GACTTGGTCTCGATGATTTCTCGAAACAGATCTTTTCTTGAAGATACATTGTGTTTCTTTGTCTCAATGATTTCTCGAAACTCATCTTTTCTTGAATATATGAGGAGCAATTTGGTCTCGATGATTTCTCGAAACCAATCTTTTTTGTAGATTCGAAGTCTAACTTGATTTGCATATTTCTCGAAACTCTTCTTTCCTTGTAGATTTAAAGTGTATCTTGATTTCGATTTCTCATAACCAATCTTTGCTGTTAGATACGAAGTCTAACTTGGTTTCGCTCATTTCTTGAAATCAATTTTTTCTGGTAGATATGAAGTGTAACTTGGTTTCGATGATTACTCTGCAATGACATGGTTAGAGGACTTTTATTTTGCGTGAATTTGTGACAAAAAGAGATTAGTAGGTTAATCTCAAAGAAGAGGACTTTGTATAAATACCATACTGCTACACTACTACGTAATTCGACCGTCCTTTTTTGTTGAGCTCGACTTAAGAGTCTTTTTTTTCTCTTATTTCATACGAAATGAAAGTTTCCCCAACTATCGTTTCTTCGTAATTAAGTGTTCGCCTAATCCACAATTTCGCAATAAATTTCTTTTTTCTTTTGTTCATCTCTGCGCTGTCTGTCGCTCTGTTTTTTTGTCATATTCATCAAATTGTCTCTACTATTTTCGCGATATTTTTGAGACTACCAGTAAATCAGATATATGATTTGTATTCACCCTATTTCGTTTATGATAATGACGAACTGATAGTTGATTTTACGCACAAGCTAATGCGTAGAGCTGACGTTTCCATCCGATTTCACACAGCCGTGCTGTCCCAAAAGGTGTTCTCATCCAGACAGAATTAAACTGCAATTTCGTCCTCGCATCGGTCTTATCAACACACCCAGCGGGAGTTGAACCACGACAGGGCAGTCCACTCTGAATGGGAATACCTATTATGAAAGCAAGGTGATGTGAAATGCACTGGAAACGTCAACTTTTCTCATATCGAAGCTATGAAGCCCAAGATGGTGTGTCCTTTTGCGTGGTCACAGTCTCCTTTCGTTTTATACAAGTTGTTTTACCTTGTCTTCGCAACTCGTTCATGTTGTCAGGACGACTTAGAGCAACGCACCTTGTCCGGAGTCATCATGTTTAGAGTAGGACCGTGGACGTGGTACATTACCAGACGTTTCGCCGGCCTCGTAGTCGGCATCGTCAGTGAGTCTTGTCATTCGTAGCACCACACAACAACTCGCCAAAGAGACAAACGTGTGCTCATACGATTGTGGGAAAAATCAACTGTCACTCGTTCAGCATCTTAAACGAATCACAGTGGACACAGCTCATATGTCTCCACTTCACATTCACAACGATCCGACTTCAAATCCTGTTATGGCCTTGCGGAGGCGGCCGAGGCGGCCGAGGCGAGGCGATAACTGCAGTCCACAGTCCGAAGACAAGGCCACTGTGAAATATGAAAGCTTTCCAACGTCTGCTGAAGTGAATGTGGCATAAAACTGCATCATCGTCATGTTCGCGTCGTCCTACGTGACCAAAGCTAAGCTGAGCTGAGCCACACCAACTTCTCACTCGCGTCGCCAGCACGACGTAACACATCCTCTCCACCGCCGGCTGTCACATACAACCCTTCTCGTGCTGCACACAGACACTCTGTGCAACCGCCTGCCTCTACACACCATAGCGTCTGTCATCTGCTCTCTTTAACATCGTCTCTTATGTCACGTCACTGGTGTTCACTCTGGCAGATCGGACCATTTCGTCCTTACGAGGGTCAGATTACCATAAATTGGTTTGGGCCTGGAGACTGTTTGCAAGCCCGATCCTTTTCGCTTCATCATAACCTCTTCTTCATTGCTCATTCAATAAAGTCGAGTTTGTGGCAAAAAAGAGGCCACTTAAGCAAATTGAATTAATTTGGCTAAAGTTATCTCTGGCACTTGTTCCGTGTGTCCATGTGTCTGTGTATGACGTGGTTTATGGAGCTCGGCGAGTTGCTGAGGCGATGAGAATGACTGAACTACGCCAGCCAATAGGAGACGAGCTGGCAGTTGATTGGCTCGCTTGAATCGCCCACTCGACCAATCAGCACATGACTGGAGGGTGACAAGGTCACTCGGTGCCGTTGGTCTCTGCGCAGGGTGGTGGCCGGTCTTCGGCAGCTCATCAGACAGACTGACAGGCTGACCGGCAGACAGGCAGACAGAGCGTCGCCACTCACATGGCACCAAGCCGCTTGTGTGCGCGTGGACCAATCAGCAGGCCGGATCGGGCCGTCCCTGTGCCTCCGTGTCTGCCGGCGCCGCGGCCTGCGGCCCACTGGCCAGGGCCGGTGGCGGCAGCGACTCGACCCGCCAGAATAGGCATTAGCCCCGGGCGCCGGGCGGAAAAAGATTCTCCACCGCTCGACCAGCCAGCGTGCATGCCCTCATCGCCGAGCAGCAGCTGCACCGGCGGATCCTGCCACGCCGGCCTCGGGCATGCCGGGCCGATTGGGCCAATTGGATCTCTCGGACCAATCGGACCAATCGGGACGCTCGACCAGCCCCCGCCGGCTTGGCCGTCCGGAGGACAGCGCCTGGACAGCGTTGCGGCGGCCGCCGCCGTCGCTTGGGCCCAATTGGTCGGGCCGCAGTCCGAGTCCGGCAATTGCTCACTGAAGCCGGCGACCATCACGACGGCCACCACCGCCTCCGGTTCCTCGGCCTCGGCCTCGCCCTCACCTTCGACCTCGCCGGCCCCCCACCTTGCCCCGTCTACGTCCTCCTCCTCCTCTTCATCAACGTCGTCGTCGTCGTCGCCGTCGTTGTTGTTGTTGTTGCCATCCCCCACCGCCTCGTCTGTGCAATCTGCCGCCACCTCCTCCCCCGCCTGCAAGGCTTTCCTGTCTCCCCGGGCCCCGTTTCCCACCAGCCCCCCACGCCCCTCAGCCTCAGGTCGGGCCGACGAAGCGACGTCTTCGGGGCCGTTCGACGCCGTCCCGACGACAGACCGACTTGAGCCGCCATTGGCCGGCTCCGTCGGCCAGCCCACCTCCCTGTTGCTCGGCCTCCACCCACCCCGACACCTGCCGCCCGTCTATCCACACCGAGTCGACCACTCGCTACTCCGCAGGCCGCACACCCTCCTCTTGTCGGGCTCTGCACCGCTCGAGTCGGCCCAGCTGGCGGATGGCCGCACTGACGTGTACACACACGTCGCGGTAACACCGAGCCTCCAGTTGCCAGCTGCCGCTTCCGGCTGCTCGGACGGTCTGGCACACGCGCACGACAACGCAATGTTGGTGCTGACAACGTCGAGGCGTCTTGACGACGAGTATCCGGGCCACGAGGCCAAGCAGGCGAGAGAAGACGAGTCGGGACAAATGGGGGAGGGCGAGCAGAAGGAGAAACGCCAATGGGACATAAAGGACCTTCATTTGGTCAGAGTACGTTCAGCTGCCGTTTAACCCACTTACCTTTGCACCGTTTTTCGCTTCAACCGCCTCATTGCCGGTTGCCAGGGCGATGTCGGCCACCAGTTGTTATGTCATTTTTAGGATTACTGGCCGCATTACAGCAACCCGGGCTCGAGTTGCGCCAAAGGTGCCCATCTGATCGGTTGAGGCCATTTTGAAACTGTAGCCCACGCCAGTCGGGATGTGAATGTGTTTGCAGAGGCAAAGTCACGAGAGAATGCAACGGCAAAATGGAGCCTTGTCAACAGATTTTATGAAAACTCAAACATTAAACGAAATAGGGTGAACACGATTCTTGCCCAATTTCTTATTTCTCTCTTGTTTGTCTCGGGTTGAATTCGAGTTGTTTTATCTCACACAATATTCCCGGCTCCACTTCACTTCACTACACTTCACTCCACTTTAATCCATCCTGCCCTACTCTACTTTATGGCTAGGAGAAGGTTTTATATACGAAGAAAAGTTGGGTTTCGAGGAATCTCTTGTTTCATAATTGTTGGGATTACTTCCATTTCGAGGAAGTGTTGGGTGAAGAGATTCGAAGGTCGGTTCCACCAGAAGACGACCAGCGACGGAGTCCTCTTGACCAGCTGTCGATTGGCTTTACTGGAACATTCATGCTGACGCTGTTTCCGAGGCAATCTCCTGCTTGACCAGCTGTCGATTGGCTTTACTGGAACATTCATGCTGACGCTGTTTCCGAGGCAATCTCCTTCGATTACGGTGAAAAGGTGCTAAGCTTTCGTCCATCATATGACAGACATCATCAGAGCGAGGTAACATCATCACAACAAAATTCAGGCTTGCGAGCCAGATGTAGATTATAGATACCACTTTTTAGGGATTTGCCGGTGAGTTTTCTTGACTCGCAAGCCTGAATTTTGTTGTGACG